GAGGCCTCGAGAAAGAGGTCCTTGGCTCCCAGGCTGGATGAGGCGTTGAGCTGCTGCCAAAGGCACAGAGCAGAACTTGTTGCCACAGGAGGAAGGGACATAAGATGGCTTCAAGCCACCTTCCCAGCCCTTTTGGCGCTGCAAGCAGAAGCGCTGAGATATAATTTACCATTTCCTGTGGTGTCACTGTGCTGGTGAGGATTTCTGCGATGATCAAGGCTACGTCTTAGCCATCCTTCCTTAGCTATCCTGAGCTTGAATGGATATCGTCAGAAGGTAAGTGTAGAGGGATCCCTGCAGTGCTTGAGGAGGGGAGTCCTGCCTGGCTGCTGAAAGGGGTTCTTGGCTGCTTAATGGCCATCTTGCCTTTTCTGTGTCTGCCAAAGCCTATCAAAAGATTGGGAGTTAGCAAAGGCAACTGAGAAGATGTTTGGTCTGCTTCTTGAGCTTGTTTCAGATATTTTGCATCTCTGCCTTTACTTCATTTCCCCCCTTTTTCTTAGCTTTCTTTTAATTATCATTTTTGGCAGTGAGGGAGAAAAGGCCAAACCCAATTTTTGAATTGTTTTCCAGAGCTGAAAACAAGTTTATGGTTTGATGGAAAAATGACAAATTTGACTTTCAGTACTAGTATATCTGCACCATCATCACTGAAAAATTTAGCAATTCTCATGTTTTTAGCAAACAAGGAGGAAAAAGCTGTGCAACTTAAGCCACTCTCTTTTCAATTACAGTTATTGCCCATGGGATATTAGTTGACCTGTGAGTCAGCATATCTCATACTATCATAAACAGGCAGGAGATTTGGTGGGACAAGCCTCCCGGAGAGCCCTGGATTAGCACAAGCTCACAACAGTAAAATGCTGCTGGCTGCCAGCAAAGGCAGGGGGAGAAGGCATGAAGACACAGGTCTCTTCTGTGGTCAGCTTATGTGCGTGCTGTTTGATATATGATGGTGTTTCTGCTTGTGGAAAAAAATAACTGTTTTATCAAGCTGAGGGAAAATTATATATGCCTGTGGTGAGCTGTTATCCTAAATTTACGTGGGAACTTTCAGCCTCAGCTTCAGCTGTTCTGCTTGGTGCATAGGAAGAAGAAACGGAAAGTCTGTCTTCTAGGGCAAGAACCTGCACCTATGTCTAATGCACCTCTGTGCTCTAGTTGGGGAGCTGATGTTTCTGAGGATCCCCAGGGTGGAGAAGCTAGTGGAGAACATGAGTAAGGAGCACAGAGTAGGCAGCTCAGTCCTTTGGGGTCACACATGGAGCAGGACGATCCACTTTGTGAGCTTGCTCTCTACTCGAAGGGAAGCGTTTGAGCGCTGGAACTTGGTGTCTTTAAAACCAGCAACTGAGAGCAATGTGGGTCTGAAAAAGAAAGGGATATTAGCCATCTGCTTTAGCAGTTCCTCACCCAGAAGAGGAGGAGTTCATCTGTTATTCATGCACGTAGGCTGTTGTTTCATTGTGTTTTGTTTTCTTTTCCCTCCCACTCTCCAGTAAAGCACCTGTTGAGTTGATCCTCTGTGATTCATCTCAAAAATAAGGAAGGAGAATTCATTGAGAGTCTGTGTAGCTCAGTTTTAATTTCTTCAGGTTTGTGCTCTTCAGGGAGTGTTTGAGGTGGCATATTGTGAAAACTCCTAGAAGCTAAACTCAGCCTTTTTGCATCGCTAGTTAAAGCATAGAATATACAAGGGGAAGGAATATTTATTTTTTCTGGATATAAAGATGACCTGAGTCGTGAAATGTTAGTCTGCAAGGGGAAATACCTTGGAGCTTCCCAAACCATAGCTGAGGATGGGGGAAAAGGCTGTAGAGGACTCATTTTGGCACATCTTTAATGAAAACTGATTTAGTTTAAAATGACTTTTATTAAATGGAATACGTCCTGCTTCATTAGAACAGGTTGTGCTGAAAAGTATGAAGTAAAGCAGAACAAAACATCAACTGCAAGTAATCTGAAATGCAGTGATTTTTGTAGGGAGCCACAAGCCATCAGGAGCTGAAATTTAGTTGGCAAACGTTGGTCCTGCAGACGTGCTTGTCCACATCATGTGTTCACCTTACGGATGCATAAGGCTGGGCAGCCTGTGCTGCCCATGGAGGGACAGAGGTTCGTCCAGTGAGTGTTTTGGGAGGACCCTCTATGTCCCTTCTAAGCATGCAGCTCTGGAAGAGCCTCTCTTTGCCCTGCTGGCCGTACGGATCCAAACTTAAGCATTGACGGCTAAGACGTATGAGGAATTTCCATGCTCCCGCCCCAGTAATTGCTTGTTTCTTTGTGCTTAGGCTCTAGGGACATTATATTCAGCATGCAGTGACTTAAATTTTCATCTGGAGTGTCTCAGAATGAATTAGTGAGAGAGGTTCAACTGACATGGCTGTATAAATGAAGTAAAAACAACTCGTGCCCAGCTAATTCAGTAGTTAAAGCAACAGCTCAAGGGTTAATATCCTACCTAGGGCTGAAGGAACAATACAGACTAACTGCCTGGTGAACAGTCCCTTTCACGTTGCATGTGCGTCACTTCTACATGGAAATGAGTGTGAAACTTTTTTTCCTCCTCCTGGTTCAACTTTTTGTGCTATAAATAAACTGTACAGTGTGAGAGAAAAACGAATAACAAGGGACTGTAGGTTTTGGGTGCCTGTGGCAGGATGTTTTCTTGATTATCCTGTTTCTTGTAAACAGTGAGATGGCTTTTGTAAAACAGATGTAAAGGCAGCCTGCGTTCATTGTTTTAACACCTGCTATCCTTTAAAATGGACCCAATGCAACCCATTGATAAAATTCAGACTCAGAAACCTGCAACGCGGACTGAGCTCCTGTAGATAGCTCAATAAAACCCTTGAGAATCTGACATCCGTCCCGTTTTTCTCCATTATATTTGATTTGGAGTGGGGAAGGGAAGCTCATGATTATTTTTTCCCTGCTCTTGTTCTCACAATAGCAGGAAAAACAATACTTTCTGGCTTCAAGGTGGTAAACTGTGAGAAATAACAACAATAGTTCACTTTACTCTGCAAGGATTCAGCCAAATTTATGAATGAAACTAGTGGTTGCAATTTTGTTTCCAGGCCTGTAGCTACTTTTGGTATCATGAGATGAAATAAAAAGGCTGGAGGGAAAACAGCTGGTAACCATTGCAACGGTGGTATTGGGAGGAAGGACAAGGAAAGGTCGTTAAACTGAATTGGAAAGGGGCAATACAGGGCTTTTCTGCTTCTTGCATTCAAGTTCAGAGAAACAGATGAATTTACTCACTCAAATAGAGGCTTTAAAGTATTTTCTTTACCTGAGGCTAGCATGTAAAACCTTTGAGACTTCTGTGTGCAATTACAACCATCCAGCTCTTCTCAAGTTGGCCACATGGAGTAAATGAAGCTGGGTTTTTTTCTTTGCTGCCTATCAAATTTGTTCTGTTAATCTATAGACCCTCACTGGGACAGGACTGTTTTATAAGATGTTGTAATATAGATTATAATGCCATCAGTCCTTTTAGAAAGAGGTAAAAGCTAGACTGAAGGTATCATGTCCATTCCCCTTATCACAGGCAGAACTGTGTGGTAATTATGAGGTAATTTATACACCTTAACTGAATGCTGCTTTGGCTGGGAGTCGAGGAGAAAAGTCTGTTGTTCAGTGAGAATCTATTTCGAAAGTCTTCTGGAGTTTTATTTCCTTGCACCACCTCTCACGTTGGTGCTCTGGTCCTTTCTTCTAAACCTGTGTGCTGCTTGCATGTGAACTCTTGTGTATCAACTTATCACCAGAGGTGTTCATGTAAATTTGCACCTGAAAATTGAAAATTTGCACCTGAAATTTGCACGGAGACCTGTATGCGCTTCATCAACATCCCTACAAATGCCAGCTCAGGTTATGTGAGGTGGAATTGCTGCAAAAGGGTTCTTTTAGCTGCACGGGTATAGCTTGGAACGCAGCCAGGCCTTGGTTTAGTAGCTTCTGTGGTTGTTTCCTGATGAAAAGCAAGAGCTGGAATGGTTGTTGTGATAAGAATAATACACTGGAGTGCCTTGACATATTTCCTATTGTGAGTGCTAGCTAATCGGGAAGGACTCCACACTTCCAATATGAAACTACTCTTTAGGAAGAGATCTTGGCGATAGGATGCTGCAGTTGGGGGACGGCATCAGTCCTACGCGTGCAGAGTGATTTCTGGATCCCTCTTCCCTTTGGCAGTGTTTATTCCTCCTGCAGGTAGCAGACAGCAGGCAGCAAAATTCCTCTGCTGGGGCACTCGTGAGTAATTGAGCTAATTACGTGGAAACTCTGTATATGTGTATGTTTGTGCATTTATAGGCCCTGACACAAAACTGAGTTTCAGCTCCCATTACTCGGTGCTTTTGCTCACCCCAAACACTGAGGTGATGCAGTTTGCCTTACACTGCATCTCCTCTTGTGCTTTGGTGAGAGGAGATTCTCCCAGACTCAGGAGCGAGAACTTAGAGGGTTGAAACAGTTGGTCAGGGCAGTGTGTGGCTTAGCAGACCCTTCTCAGATAGGAGGAGACTGTTTTCCGCTGCTTTGTGCAGAGCAGGAGAGATTTTCCTCATGTTGAGGTGGTTTCCACGCTTTACCGCTCCTCATGTGTTGCCTGCCAGTGCAAGCAGAGGAGATATGCACCTATTTATTTACTGCTGCCTTGAGTGGGGTTGGACCAGATAGCCTCCAAAGGTCCCTTCCAGCCTAACTTAGCATTTCTCTCAACATGAGAGATATAATAACAGTGGTTCCTTCATAAGGTCACTTATGCAGAAGACTTTCTCCTCCCACTTCTGAAAACAAAATCTGGGACTATAAATGAAGAAATTCAGCCTAAAAATAATCACTGTTTGACACAGGTGATACTAGGTTGCGAGATCTGCACGTGCCGTGGCTTCACTCTGCTCAGCTGATCTGGAAGCTCCTTGGCAGCACAGTGCGATGTGCATAGCAGAGGACAGGGTCTGAGGGACTGCCTGCTCAGAGTGTCCCACCTGTCCTCCTTCACTCCCTCCGCTATGAAGGGCATCCTAGGAGACAGGGCACTGCTGTAGCCCGGGGCTGTAGCTGTGGAGCGACCCGCCAGCCTTTGGGAATAGGACCCACCCTTCTGCTCTCGTTCCTCGGCACCCAGCCGAGTATGTGAGCTGGGCTCTGGAAGAGAGATGCATCAAAGGATAAACATTCGTGCAAAACGCCCTTTGCATCTGCGTTTGATTAAGCCACATGCAAAACTGCAGAGCAACATATTTGTGTGTATGTCAACCCATGTGCACAAACAGCACGCACTGCCTTTGGACAGTGGAGTAAGCTGCACGTAACTTAATCTAGCACAGGAGGCCAAAGGGTTGATTTGATGGCTGGGTTTGTATCTGCAGGTCTTGTTGTTTCAGATATGAGAGCTCTAAGCCATCACCCTGACCTTGGCATTTTAACGTTCTCCCTGCTATTGAGGCTTGCTGAAAGCTGCAGCCAAAGGAAACACTCCCTCTGTCTCCGTTAGGCTTTGGATGAGGCCTACGGAGCCTGAAATTAATTTTGCTCAGTTGTCCTGTTTTGCTCTTTAGGTTTGAGACGGTCTCTCTTCCTGAGGAGAGCTAGCTGCTGCGCAGTGCAATCGTGTTCTCTTCTATGGAGCGAACAACTGATAAACGTGCAACTTGCAACGAAGGAACTAAAGATAATATTGCGCTTGGGATTCGCGGAGGAATCTGCCAGCTCAGCCTGGTCAGCAGGTGACTATCTGAAGTAGTTTCATACGTTACCGCCATGCTGCTGGAGGGTACCACCTAGTAGGCACGGTGGGCAGGACAGCCACTGCAGCTTGCACTAAACTCGAGCGAACTGACCTTTGCTGGAGCACGCGCAGGCGCAGGTACCCTTCCTGGCCTGACCTCTCTGCTGAGGGGCTGGAGGTGGGAAGCGATAACCTCTGAAACAGCCGCAGCTCAGCAGTCAGCACCCTGGAGGAATTTGGCTCTTAAATCCAATTAGATTTGTGGACTGAACTCTTTTATACTCCCTTCAGAACATTACTTCACTCTGTCAATGTGAAGTCTTGCATATGCATTCTTTCCCTTTTATTGAGTGTTTTCATTTGTTTGAACTTTATTTTAATGGCTATTTAAAAACAAGATAGCAAGAAATTGGAACATGCATAATGTCCTCTCTTTTCTTATGCGTGTACTTTCTGAGAAAAGAGCCTGTTTGCTGATATCATCTTGTATGGTACGATGTCAGTGCTTTGCTGTATTAACTAAAAAAATTGTGCTAACCACATAGAATGCTTACATTATTTTTTCTTGCTTGCGTATGGAGATACCCCTGATAACCTTTCACAGTAATTACAGTAGATAAGAAATGTTTACCCCAGGTAGAAGGTAAATACCTTCTTCAGGTCCGCAGCGCTGTGCACTTTAAGCGATGCTTTTTGTTTCCTCTTCTGCATTAATCAGTAAGATTGCATTGTGGCCACTGCTGTCCTAGTTTTTTTCCCTAAAAATCTATCAGTTGCTCTCAGGAGGCAGTGAGAGCTGCTAGGTACTTTTACAAAGAACCAAAAATGGTTCTAAGGAAGTGTTTGCCTTTCCTATGTGTTGTGCTTTTCGAGGGTACCAGAAAGCCTCTTTTTACCTGAGAAAAACACAGAAAGTCAGACTAACATTTTTTTTAATCGGTATAAGGTGAAGAGTGAACCTCTGTGAGCGGCAAGGCTCCTTTCAAGAGATTCTGGGCAAAACTGAAGGCTTTTGGAAGTGGTTTGCTATAATTGCAGTTTGTTTTGCTTCCTGTTCATACTTTCTGCAGTTCGTTTCTTGGGCACACCTACCAGCGTTTTTTTTGTGTGGTTACAGGCAGTGTAGGAAGTGAGAAGGCCAACAAGAGGCAAGGGGGCTTTAAAACCTTGTTTCTTTTTCTGTTTAGAACGCTGCTAATGAGACATTGCATTTTATTCCTTCCTACCATTAAGGCACACTATAGCCCCCCCAAATCAGCACTGATTAAGGCAGGGAGGGAAATGAAAGAAATGAGAATAGCAGATTTCGGGTTGTATGACTCTCCAATTAGGGATCCAGACTGCGGGCAGTGTAAAGGGCTTTGTTTAGTCTGCAGTCAGTAGCCGGTGGCTGTTCTTAATGCAAGCCCTGGGTGCCGAGCTGGAAAGCTGGGTGTACTTCTTTTCAAGGGATTTCAGCTGGTGCAATTTACAGGGTTGGAATTTAGCTCTGGTGCAGCTGCAGTATAGACAGAGCCAAAGCAGAGGGAAATAGGTGCTGGAAAGTTTATCCCTGTGCCAGGGTGTGAGGTGCATGGGCAGAGTCGCTCCTTCCCTGTGGTCTTGGATGAAGGCCATGGTTTGAGGGACATTTGTCTTGACGGCTGGTTCCTTCCTTCCCGCTGTCCTCTGCTATTTCCGGACCATACGCTGCCCTGCAGTTGTGCTGGCAAAGCTGTTTGTGAGACCTTGGGATGAACTGAAGGAGGATTAAGGAAGCTTAAGGTAGCTTTGCCACGGAGAGAAGTGGCTTTGGAGCCACAGCCTGGGGCTCTGTTGGATGCTTGCAATGCGTTGAGTGGGGAAAGCTGAAGATGTCACTACCCTGCTGGCAGTCTGGCTTGATCTGCTAAAATGGGAAGGAGCTATCGAACCCCTCCTGGCTTAATTTCTCTACTAAGCAAAAGGTTCACCCTCAGTGAAGGGCTGTGACTTATAGCAAGGCTGTGGCCAGCTCCTCCAGTGGTGTAAAGGTGTAAATTAACTCTTAGCCTTTGGTTCCTCTGGAAGTCTACCAGTTTATACCAGCAGAAGTGGTGAAGTCATCCATTTTGCTTGGCAGCTGTTTTAGAGCAAGATGCGTTCTCTTTGCTTGATCAGTATGTTCTTTAACATATGGAAAACTATAACGCTTTGTACTATCTGTATTTTTTTTGAAGATGCTCCCTAGAAAAACACTGCCGTTCCTGGCCCACATGTGAATTCCTCAAAACAAGATCATTATTTGAAGACCACTTGCCACGATAATATGGTGATGGTGTTTCTACCTTCCCACACTTCCCAGTACTTAAAATCAGAGAAACCAACAGTTCAAATTTGCCTGATTCATGAAATAATTTAAAAAAACCATACTTTTAATAAAGCCGTTCATCCTAATTCAAATGTTTAATCATCAGTTTATACTTTCAATCATTTTGGTCCCAAATTCTTCAGATCCGAGAGTTCTTCAGATCTCCTGGTCAGGCCAGTAAAGCAGATGCTCGCACTGAAGGAATGCAGACATGAAGGAACCCAGCAACCAGAGCTGGACTCCAAGGAAAAAAGGTTCCTAAATACACAAAAACATCCAGACTTGAAATATGCCCATGTTGTCACTTTTTGAATGGTTTGTGAAATACCAAACAGAGCAAGTACCACTAGAGGGCTCGGATATTATTTAAAGCAGTATTATTGCATTTCTGTATGCCACAGGGAGTGTCTGTGGAAATCTGGTTGTCATTGTGCTCAGTTGCTGCGGGCTCAGCTAGTGTTTGACGTTTGCCTGTTATTTGGCTGCCCAGAGGGAAGTAGAGAATCCAGCTCCCGTTGTGGGGAGATTTGGTAATCCGATGCTGGGCTCTTGCAAAACCTCTTCTCAGTACTGTGTACTGCTGCGTGTAGTGTGTTGAAAAGTCATGGATCAGACTGATTCCTGCACCGGAGGAGAGGAGGGTCCCAGAACAAGAGGGTGCCACAGTAATGGCGAACGTGTAAATTTTCAGTGCTGTGCCACGAGGAAGGGAGATGAGCCGAGGTGATCGCATCTCCCTCGTAGTGTGTGATATGGGGCAGTTTTGTATCGGTAACGTGGGTTTGTGGCTCTTCTGAACCACGGCATGGTTAGGTGTGGTTCCCTTGCTGATTCGCTTGTCTTGTGAGCAAGGTTCTGGTTTCAATTAAAGCCCAGAGTTTGTGAGTCTAACATGGCAAAACGCAAATCCGCGAGTCTGATTGTGAGGATTAGGTAGGAAAAGCAACCAACAAATGTTGGGACTAATTTGAAAAAGGTTCTAGTGTTTGCTTAACCCCATGCGTTTCTGCTTTTTTTTCCCCCTAAACTTAATATTGCACACAATTAACCTTTCTCTGGGAGGCAATGTTGCTACAATGGATTTCTGTCTTTCAAAAGGCTGCTAAGAAGAGGAGCTGACAGCAGGTCTCTTTATAATAGTATATTTCTATACAGACTGGGCAGACACAGGCCTAGGACTGCAGTAAAAACCATATGGAACATGTTTCTTGGTTAGGCCGGTAGACTGCTTCCTGATTCACCCTAGTGCTATAGGACTGTGGTGGGAATGATTTATTTTAATCTTAAGCAGTGCTAAGAAGGGAGATCTCTTGCACCTGGAATACTTCTCTGCAAGCTGCTGTTGACAAGGGGCTGCCAAGGAGGTGTATCCACGCAGCGAGGAGCTGCACCGATGTTTTTTTGAGCTGTTTAATGGGTAGTTTTAAGATGTCCAGACGCAGCCAGCGCTTTTACTATCCCAACTAGAGTGACAGTTATATTAGTATTGCATTGCTTAAAATGCACTGATAATGCGTTGTTCGTCTTTCAGTCTGGGACTTGGACTCTATCAAGTTTTGAATGAGAAATAGTATTTAGAATTTAATAGTATTAGAATTTGAATATTTGAATGAGAAATAGTATTAGGCCTGCAGGTGTACTCGTGGGGCTAGGGCTCCTCAATTGTCCCCTACCTAGCCCTCGAACTGCTGCGGGAGCTGATTAGAGTTTTGTGTGGGTAAGAAGAGCAGCCCTGATCCAGCACTCCCTGAAGACGCTGATTTTCTCATTGACTTTGTGTTATTTGCATTCAGGTGGTACCTCTGGGCTCTGATATCTATGTGAGGCACTATCCAGTCCCAGCACAAAAACACAGCTTTTACCCTAAAGGGCTTACATTTTAAGCTTTGGCTTGGGATCTGGAGATTAGTGAAGAGCATATGGTCCCTAAGAGGTACGGCTTGCTAAAAATGACTACAAAATTGGAACCAAAGACATTGTACACGTTCCCTCCCACCTCTTCCCTCTCCTGCAAAATCCCTGTCAGTATAAGCCATGACTGAAAATGTTGGGCAGGTCTGCAATTGCCTGGAAAGTGGAAGTCTTGCC